ACGGGACGTCATTTTCTGACGTTTGTTTGACGGCAAAACTAAGACCAATTACAGTAATAATATAACACATATTAATGTGATATATATTATAGGTAAATTTAAATAATTTAATTTATAAAATTAAAGATTTTATTTATATGGAAGTTAATTTCTGTTTTATATTTTAAGCAGATAATAACAAACAATTTTTACTTATTCGGATAAAAATTGTCCGAATAAATTAAAATCGGATATTATCTGTCCGATTTTCCAAAAATCAGTTCAATATCTGAATTTTCTGGTACGGGAATCGTATCAGAAATTGAACTGATAAAAATAATTACAATGTTATTAGCCGCATTTTGCACGCTTTATATACGCTCATGACAAGAATTTGAATACGGGTATAGATAGTGAATAGCGCGCCGTATAGCGGTAAGCAAATGAACTATAATCAATATAAGTTACAAAAGGACTTTATTTGGACGGTCATAGAACGTTTTCAAAATTACGTCTTTGGCTAATCTAAGAAATAAGGTCTTTTAAACGTCAATTATTAGTCGCCGACATTATAGACCAAAAATAGACGTCATTATGTCGTCTTTTGACGTTACTCTGTTACTTGGGCAGTTACATTATATACTCCCATGTTACATAGCAGTTATATTCTGGTGTTATATTGCTTAAATAAGAGATAGTTATATAATCCCAATATAAATTAGGTATAACAACTGTTACATTACATGTTACTCCCATGTTACATAACAGTTATATTTTGGTGTTATATTGCTTAAATAAGAGATAGTTATATAATCCCAATATAAATTAGGTATAACAACTGTTACATTACATGTTACTCCCATGTTACATAACAGTTATATTTTGGTGTTATATTGCTTAAATAAGAGATAGTTATATAATCCCAATATAAATTAGGTATAACAACCGTTACATTACATGTTATTCCCATGTTATATAGCAGTTATATTCTGTGTTTGCTGGGGTTGTATAGTCAAAATATTGAAGAAACATTGGAAAATTTAATAGAGGAAATAAAAGAGGAAAAAGAAGGATATTTAATGATAGGAGGAGATTTTAACGCGAGAACGGGAGAGGAAGGTGGTCCGATAGGAACAGAAAGAAAGAAGGAAGGGGAGATAAGAAGATCAAGGGGTAAAGTAACAAATAGAGAAGGACGAATAATGATAAACAAGTTAAAAGAAAGAGGATGGATGATATTGAATTGAAGTTATGAGAAGAAAGGGGAATGGACATACATCGGAGAATCAGGATCATTGGTTATAGTTTACGTTGTAACAAACGAAAAAGCGATAGAAGAAGTTAAAAAGATGGAAGAAGGAAATAGAACAGAGTCGGATCACATACCATTGCAAATGGAATTAGAAGGCACAAAAAGAAGAAGCAGTCAAAAGACTGATAGAATCAAGATTGAAAGAAGTGTATGGACAGAAGAAGGGATCGAGCATTACCACGGAAAATGTGAAGATTGGTCATGCACACAGACAGAACAGGGAGATCTGGAGAGAAATAGAGAATAAAATAATTCGTTATTGAAAATTAAGAAAAAAATAATACCGTGGAAATTAGGAAGAAGACAATGGCATAGCAAAGAATGGAGAACAAAAAAAAAGAGAGCTGAGAAAAGAACTGAGAAGGATGAAAAAAGGAAAGATTAACCGAGAAAAATATATTAGAAAAAGGAAGGAATATAAAATATAGTGTGACAACGAAAAGAACAAACACGAAAAAGAAGAAGAGGAAAAGAGAAAATTAATAAGAACTGAGGAAGAGGCATGGAAATATATCAATAAATATAGAAAGAAGAGGGAGAAAATAGATGAGAATATAGATTTGGAAAGTTGGAATTTGCATTTCATGAAGTTATTAGGAGGAACAAAGAAAAGAATGATAATAGAAGAGAAGGAAGAGAGAAGAGAAAAAGAGGAAGGAATAGAGAAGAATGGAGAAGAAACGGAAAAAATAACGAGGGAAGAGCTAATGAAACAATTGAAGAGATTAAAAAAAGAAAAAGTACCGGGAGAAAACGGAATAGAAAATGAAGTTTGGAGATTAATGCCGAAAGAGATAGGAGAGGTATTCTTAAAACTACTAAACAAAATATGGAGGAAGGAAGAATTTCAGAAGAATGGAATAGAGGATTAATCAGTCCAATTTATAAGAAAGGAGAAAAAGGCGACGTAAAGAACTATTGAGGAGTGACTCTGATGGACATAGTAACTACAAGAACACTATAAGATTTATGCGAACATTTTGAATGAGAAACTCACGTAGGAAGTAGAAATGAAACTGGAGGAAGGACAGTTTGGTTTTAGAGCAAGAAGAGGCACAATTGATGCAATATGTGTTAAATTATGTAGTTAATAAAGAAATTTCGAAGAAAAGAGGAAAGATCTTTGCATTATTTATAGATCTCACGGCGGCGTTTGATAAGGTAGACAGAACGAAACTGGGAGAAATGATGAAGAAGACAGGTATAGGAGAACGCTGAGAAAGAGGATTATGGAAACATATAAACAAAACGAAGAACAAGGTAAAAGTGGGAAATAGAAGAACAAAGTTCTGGACAAGAAGCGGAGTGAGACAGGAATGTCCTATGAGTGCTACGCTGTTCAATGTGTATATGATGGATTTGGAGGCAGAGATGAGAAAAGAATAGACGGGGGGAATAGTAGTGGGGAAAGAAAAGTTTTGGTTGATCACATACGCGAATGATATAGTTTTGCTGGCAAAAAGTGAGCAGGAGTTAAAAGGAATGATGAGAAAATTAAAGAAATATATAGAAAGGAAAGGATTGATTTTGAACACTCAAAAGTCAAAAGTGTTGATATTTGAGAAAGGAAGGAGTATAGGAAGAAGAGAATGGAAATGGAGTGAAGAGAATATAGAAGAGGTGAAAGAAGTAAAATATCTAGGATATATAATGCAAAAGAACGGAGGAGCAGAGAAACATGTATTGAAAAGAATGAGAAGAGCGACGATTGCAATGAAATTGACTTGGAGTATTGGAGAGAGGTTATTCAAGGATGCTTACAAGAGAAGAATGAAGATGTTCGACACATTGGTTGGAAGTGTGGCATTGTACGGAGCAAAGATTTGGGGATGGAAGAAAGAAGAAAGGCTGAGTAGAATAAAAAGAAAATATGTGAAATGGATTTTAGGACTAGATATAAGAACACCGAACTATATTTTAACGGAAGAAACTAAGATAAAGGAATCGAGTCTGGAGACAAAGAAAAGAACAATTAAGTACGAGAAAACTGCACGTCAGACGAAAAAAGGTTAGTGGTGGAATGTATGAAGGAGCTAGAGAGGAGTGGAAGAAGCAGCGAAGAGAATAAATGGGAAAAGAGGAGAAGATAAGGCGGAAATAAGTAAGGAGGAGCTGAGGGAAAACATAGAAGCAAAGAAGATAGTTCAGGAAATAATGGAAAGAAAGAAAAGGAGGAAAGAGAAGAAAGAAAATAGAAGAGTCCAAATACAATGAAATACAGGGTGATTCAAAACAATCTGATATCCTTGAAATGTCATATTCTTAAGCGAATTCTGAGACGATTTCTCCTTTTACAAAATTTTATCCGAAGCTTAGTTTTTGAGTTATAATTGAAAATAGTTAGCTACTTATAAGTACGGTACAACGGGCAGGCAGGGACGACACAACATGTCACGAGACTCATCACTTCACAATTTTACAATAAATATTATTTATCGTGGCATTTTATACCTTAATTTGTGTGGAAATTGATATTTGCGAATGATAATAAAATACTGCAGTAAAAACAGTAATGTTTCCAGTGATATTTATTGTGAAATTGTGAAGTGAGGCTCGTGACGCGTTGCGCCATCCTTGCCTGCCCATTGTCCCGAACTTGTAAGTAGCTAAATATTTTCAATTATAATTTAAAAACTGAGTTTCGGACAAAATTTTGCAAAGGAAAAAATCGTCCCAGAATTTGCTCAAGAATATGACATTTCAAGGACATCAGGTTGTTTTGAATCACCCTGTATATAAAAATATAATGATGGAAGAAATACCAGCATATTTGCGAAGAAGAAGAGGAAAGAAGGATAGGAGTTTGATAGCAAGATTTAGATGCGGAAATGAAATCAACACTGGAGAGAAGAGGAAGAAAGGAAATGTAGAGTATGCGGAGAAGGAATAGAAAACGGTACATGTGCTGAAAGAATGCGAGGAGACTAAAGATGAAACGCCAGTAGAAGAATTCTTAAAAGGAGATGGAAAAAGCTATGAATTAATGAATAGGATAGATATAATTAGGAAGAAGGAAAAGGAACAGAAGAAAGGAGATGAGACCAGTGAGGATGAAGGAGTAATATAAAGGAAGATAGACGAAAACAGACGATGAATACTAAAGAAAATTGATAGGTAGTTAGAAACATTAGGAATGTTGAATATTTAATATGTAATATGTAATTTAGATGCAATAGCTATTGCAGTTTTAGTTTTTGTATTTTGTTTCTAGTTGAAAGTTATTTGCATTACATCATTATTATTTTATTTTTGATATATTTTAGTTAGTTGAGTTTATTTTTTATTAGGGAAATCTATTTAGCAGAGTTAAATGAAGTATATGAGTTATTTGAATTAATTTTAGCTTATTGAAGTTATGGAAGTTAAGAGTTTTTATTTAAAATAATTTTAATGTTCGTTATATTATAGGGGAGTATTATTAGATAACTATAAGTCATTATAAAAACACATTTTAAAAAACACAAACACAAAGACAAAATAACAATTGTATAACTGGAGGTCATCCAAAGCCGTAAGGCACGGATTAATAAATAATAATAATAATAATAAATAATAATTTTATTGCGTGCAATTTGGAAGAGAAAGAAAGAAATATAACATATACAGGATGTCCTAAATATATGCGAAAAAATTCGAGAGGTCATATCTTGGATAATTTCTTGAAGAAAAGTTCATATATACTGATGCCAAACGGCATAGTTTTCTTAGATACAAGATATATGTCCTAATCATTGGATAAGTCAAGCAGGATCTCAACCTTTGGTCCCCAAAATTGAATCCCTTGGATTTTTTTCCTCTAGGATTATCTTAAATCCTTAGTTTATAGCATCTCGATTAAAAATATTGAAAATTTAAGAAATCGCATAATTGCATCATGCAAAACAATCCGTAATACATCTAGTATTTTTGAATGTATTTGCCAATCGATGAGAAGGAAAACAGATTCATGTATCATGGCTGAAAATGGTCATTTCTAACAATTCCTATAATTTTAATTTTTTTTGTCAAAATAAATTTTTGAAATTTTTTTTTACATCTTGAACACCTTGTAACTCTCGAAAACAATACCGATGATGATTGAGGATATTAGAGTATATGAATTTTTTTTTATTGTCCAAGGAATCATGCGAAACTTTTCGCACATGTTTAGGAACATCCAGTATAATTAATGCAATATTTTCCTATAAAAGTTTATCGGTTATTCCCAGATTTCATTTTGTATAAAATTAATAAGAGGCACATTTACAGAAAAGAGAATAAGAGATAATTTTATGATAATGTTGCAGATATGCAGTGTATATTCCCTTGTTCCTGCCGGCGATGATACCGGTGTTGTTATCGCTTAAGAATATACGAAGATACTACTTTCTCTAGAAGAGTAACAAGATAGAAAGGACGGGCCGTAGAGAAAGTAAGAATGATAAGGATAGTAAACCAAAGATCGAATAACGAAAATGCATTTATCTAATCGATAAAACATGATTACGTGTATACAATCGAATGCGATTCAAGATTATTTCTCGACCAAGAGGTAATGTATAGCAATAATAGACATGTAATTTCGTACGTTTCTTACAGTTTATATATACCAAGTTTCGTGCAGTGACTGTTTATCGTAGAAAAAGCTCTTATCTATGTTTTTTTTATTTTTCATTGCGTGTAGCAAAAAGAATATATATCTATCGTATTTCGAGTATCATTTAATCAACGATCGAGTCGTATTACATAAAGTTAGGCGCTTAAGGACGGTTGTCCGTTATATAGTATTGTATAACGATCATTAAGTACGACAATAGAATTGTAAGAATTTTTACTCACCGGCGGCAATGATTTCGCATCGAATATTCTCTCGCAAAGAAAAAAAATATCGAAAGGAAAACGTATGAAGAAAATGGTAATAACTTTGTTTTATTTTAAAGAGGCAATGATTCGATGAAATATGGGTGTATGAAACCACATGTGTGCAAAAATATAATAAACAATTTCTTTCTTGAGCCACTTCTTTTTTTTCATTCAAACGATAAAATCTCTGAGCAAGGTCTCGAACGATCCGCAGGCATCACTATTTCGTTTTCATTCATTCATTCTCTCTCTCTCTCCCTTCTTCCCTCCCTCCTCTCTCTCTCACTCACTCATTCATATGTTGCATATTGATTTGGACGAGGATGCAGGCCGATTTATTGAAATTCTCGCCATCATCGTCGACTGAATTTCATGTTTGTACGTTACATTGCACATTGATAAGCATACACTCGGCCAAGATACGCACATACGCAAGACGCAAACGAATCCTGCACGACATCCTTCCTTTCGCATCCCCTCTCCGATCAGATTTCAAGTTAATAATCGATTAGATCGTTAGAAACAACGAGTTTCATGTATGTACACGTGTATCAACTCAATCCTCAACCCACATTACTAAAAGGTTACAAAAAAAGACTGTGAACATTAAGTTACTATAAAAAGAAAAAAAACGAACGAGAGAGGAAAAATAGTATATGTCCATCTACCGTGAGAGACCGCTCTTTTTTTTTTACTGATTTATATAACAAAAGGTCCAATGTCATTCGATAAAGAGAAGAACATAGTAATAAAAACACTAAAAAAAAGAAAACAATAATAAAACAATTAGCTGCTCGATGCATTTAGCTAGTATAAAATATGGTGTATATAAGCTCTCTAAAAAAAAAAAAAAAATAATAAAATAAAATAAGTTGTGTATTTGACCTATGAAGTAAAAATAATTGCTCAAGAAATGTTCTGTGCTCATAATAAATAGTAATAATAATAAAAATAAATGTGGAATATCTTGATGGAAATAAAAGATCTTGACTGCCTGTGTTTTAACTTCGTCAAGAATTTAAAAATAAGTAATAATAATAACACACAGATGAACAATATCTCGTTAAGGATGTAAATAGTATGAGAGTTTTATCTATTGATAAAACGATAATGATAAGATACATCATAAGAAGAATCATCTCTTGTGTATGCCAATGACGACACTAGTTACTACGAGTAGGGTATAGTCACCCTTAATAGAAATAATAGTGGCAATGCAAACATCATCATCATTATACCTATGGTACGTTCCATAGCGTGGATCTCAAATGGTAGCTGGACATTGTTAAGAGTAAAAATAAATTAATCATCGAACCGTGGAGCTTATTCGTACGAAAATAATAGAAAAAAATAGTAAAGAGCAATTAAGTCAACAAGGACTTTGAACTAACTGTATCGCGTGTTGCAAAGCATCAGCGATATTCTGAAAAACAGGTACACCTTCGCGCGTCGCATAATCCGACAGGTACATCCTCCCCCGGTTGTAATCTTTTCTGGCTTGTTCAGTCAGCTAAATCAATCAAAAACAAAAACGTATTACATTTCTATTATAAAAAAGAAATGTCTATAAATGTTGAAAAGTGTTTATATATTGTACATCACTATGATTTATTCGAAATAATATTCTCTTGAAATTTAATTCTTCAAAGGATTCTTTAATCTTAAATAATTCGACAGTTAATCTTATTTTCAGTTATTGTTAAGATATTTTGATGAATGAATTCTATATTCAGTTATTGCTGACATATGTTAATATTCAGTATATCAATCGTACTTTTTCACCAGACACGATCGAATCCTCGGGAAGAGTCTGAACACAAAGGATGAGCTTAGCGCGCAGTCCAATCAAATGAGCTGCCAACGCCATAATAGCAATTCCGCGCGAATGTTGCGGCACTATCAGCAGGATCAGCCGCGAATTCTTCATCTTGTGTAATTCCTGCGGCAGTACCCTTACGTTGTACTCGTTCAGACTTGATCGATATAGAGACAATCTCATCGACCTGAAAGGAGATCGCATGAATGAAAAGGGAACCATTCGTTAACCGTGAATAGATGATCGGAAGTCGATACTCACTCTATCAGCGGCACTGCGGAAGATTCCAACCAAAACAGATCTTTATTGACCACGCCGATGTAAATGTCTCTCTTCTCAGACTCCTGTGCGAAGGAATTAGTCCAATCTGAAAAGATTCAAGTTTGTTACATGTCCTGTTTTTTCGATTTACTCTATGAGATAAGCGAGATCAATTACGTGTTCAATCGTCATGTTTCACTTGAAGAGTGATAGAATAAAGGATTCGGATGAGATATAGGAATTGTACACATTAAGTGCCAGAGATCGCGAGAGAAATTTGATCGAAAAATTAGAAATACCTAGAAAACGATTAAAGGGATGTACAATAGCTCGGCGCAGAAAATTTGAAGCCTTCCTACAAAATATATTCCATACTGAAGGTATCTCACTTTCACAAGAAACGCCATTACTCTTCGTCCGCGTCCACGACAACTCGTTGGCCAGAGCACAGAACTGCTCGAAATTGATTCGAAATTCTGTCGGATCGCCGTTCGCCGGAAATCCGTCTATCAATGTTCTGTACATCTCTGCGGAATAAACATGTTTGTGATTATTAATTTTTTTTTGATGAATCAGAAAACAAGTCGTCAAATCCGATAAAGTAGACGTCCCAATTACTGCCACCTTAAGCTTATAGCTTAACTTCATTTAACCGTTTTGGGCGTTGCTGAAGCTAAAAAATGCCTCACTTTGAATCATAATGTTACTTAATAACTCTATTATTATAAAAAAAATTATGCATTACATATAAATACTCAAATAATAAATAAAAATCTATAGAAATCTGCAATGTCCCTCACTGTTATCTAAAAAAAATGTCCGTATGACTGACACCCAATAATTGTCAGTCCCTTTGATTGTGACCAGATCACTGCCAGTCTCGCTGCGCCCGAAAAGAGGTTAGAGTAGTCTGTAGATAAATGTTAGTTATATGTACTTGTGTTTCTTACCCCGAATACTGACGGAAGTCTAACGGACAAACCAGAAAATATTGTCCCTATTGCTATCAGCATTAATTATAATAATTTAACATAAAATATCATTTATTTCACACATTATTTCATTAAAATGATTCTTATATAGCTTAATAATTCATTTTACATAATCAATGTAGGTTATATAATAAAATTAATCCCCTTTCTTTAGTACAACTTTTGCATCGCCTTTTACTCACGTAGTCGCATTTTTGATACTCAAACTTAATGTTCAGTTTTTAACATTAATTTTTAAATACTAAGTAAAAACAAATACGTGTCATTTTTTTTGTTTTTATATAAATTAAAGTATTGATTTAATAATAAATTTTTTTTTGAACATGTTTGTTTATAAATTAATTTTTTTCAAGTAAAATATATAAACTGTGTTGAGAGAAAGGCATATTGTTGCACATTGTTGTGTTCGACTGCAACGTCGCCCAAGCCTGGAAATGAAGAAAAACGTGTGTTGGTGTGTTGGCATTTCTTAAATTTTATTTCTCGCGCGACAAAAAGCGTATATACATACTTCCCCCAACTTTATCGTACCGCTGTCATCAACATTCATAGATTTGAAAATCTCTCGCAACGTTCTAAAACGTAAACAAAATTTCCTTGCAAATGTTCTCTTATTTTATTTTGTTCCATATGTATAAATAGCTATACATATATACGTAAATGATTTTTCAGAATCGGCAGAAACTTACACTGCATCCGTCCCATTCTGAGTAAGCGAGATTCTTATAGGTCTGATGCCATCTTCAGTATACAAATCCGTACAGTCCTGCACATTGATCTCTTCGCGTAACATCTGTGCATACATATAGTATACATGTATTAATCATTAGTTATGCCATAATTTGCTCGTTAATTAGAAGCCATTACCTTGGATGTGCAGTGAAGAGCAACTGAAACGCTCTCGAATATCGGTATCCTTTGTCTCTCCATTAGATATTGAAGTACCAACAATCCATTCATCAAATCGTAATATTCTCTAAAGAATAAAGAAACACGTAAGATGAGGAAAACATTATGACAGAACAATGTTTTTTATTAATTAATCACTGGTCAACATACTGTGTAGAAACGGTCTCTCCTAGTATAGTTTGCCCCTGGCGATACGGATAAATGACGAGCACCAGGGATTCGCTGCGCGTAGCTGCCAGTTGAGCCGCTTCAATAATACCCGCGCTGTTGCGCGTCTGGTTGTCGATAACGAATAGCAAGACCCGCGCCGTCTGCTTCGCCTCGTACTCCTGGGCTATCAACTCTGGACCCCATTGCGACACTTGCTGTGATACAGAATCCAATTATGATATCTTGTGTGCGAAGGCGAAGAGGACGACGATAGTGAGCAACCTACAGGATTGTAGTAAGTAATTCCGAGGTTCTGAAGGGTCGGGATCGCTATGTCTGACCTCCAGGTAGTTGGATTGCAAGACCCGCCCAAAAATACCTCATATGCCATCCTCTCTAAGTGATTGATCGATAAATAAGTAATAATTGAGGTGGGACCTGTCGAGACAATCGGCTTATTTGTTAACTTACTTGAACCAGTTTTGTGATTGGTGTCCTTTCCATCACCGTGTAATGAGCGAGAGGCATTCATAGGAACAGCTGCCGTTCTAAAGATAAACAAGAATAGACACATGTAGTACAATTCCAGGTTCTGCATACTGATCCAATATTATCACACTCGATACTAGTAGTAGCGACTACTATGTTTGTGGTAGGATTTGATATTTGAGAGTGCAATTGATGTCTGTACGTTCGACGTATATATAGAAGTCGAGTCGAAACTTTATACATGATTAGGAATAAGTTTTTTTCTTTACAATTTTTTGCGACTTTAGCTATATTTAATTATTACTGCTAGGAATAAGTTTTGTAACTTTTATTATGCAACTGTTTTTTGGAAAGTGTTAAATAGGGGGTCATTTTAATGCTTTGAAAGACGAGTATGTTAATAATATTGTCGAGATTCATCATTCAAAGTTATTGCAATAAATATCTGATAATTTTCATTCACGATAAAAAAATGGCAGGATCATCTGTGAATCATCCTGTATAGCAGAAGAGAGATGTCATCAATTACATAATCGTCAAACAAAATTTCATCAGAGTGTGGTAATAGGATACACTAGATAGTAGCATCAATTATCGTTTTTTTTTAGCTGAACGTACTTCCACATATCAAATAATTTTGCAACGATCGACCTCGCGTTGCGTTTCATCATTGTTTTACAACATTCCCCCTCTATAATCATAATCAAACGCTCAATATTTTCGCCTGAAACATACAGATTTCCGTTCACCCGATAATGTGCACAGTGTACACAGAAAAAAAATTATATACAGGGTATCTACTCAAATCCTGTAAAAAATTCTCCTAAAAATTCTCTGATCTTTCATATATTTTTGTTCAAAATTCCAGATAAAGAGAATATTTTAAACATTCTTTGATGCAATTTCCTAAAATAAGTTTTTTTATTGTATGCTTTTTCTGATGCTTTTCATTCATACGAAAGAAAAACACAAAGTCATTTAAGTTTTAAGTGCTAGATTTACAAATGTATTGAAAATAAAACTGAACAGCTTTTGTTAAAATAAAATTTTTTAATTTGCAATATTTTTATTTTTTATCACTGAAAATTAAAATAAAAAATATATATTGCATATTTAATATTTTGTTAAGATGTTGAATATACGAACAGTGATACATATACGTATATTTATAATATATTTTAAACGCATAATTCATTTGGTTTGCGGACTTTTTACAATATGAGAGCAAAATTATCAAAAAGAAAGAATTTCTTTAAAAAATTTCCAGAGTTTCAATAAAATCTCATGAGAAGTCTTTGATTTGTTCCAGGTACAAAAGATCCGTAAGAATTCCAGGTTTTTTACTGTTTTTTCAGGGAATAGATACCCTGTAATATTATAAGATCGTTCATACATTGACGTATTGACGTTCAAATTTGATCTCGCAACACATCCTATTAATCCTTATAGCTTCGCACAATTTCATTTACTTCGCTTTATGCCGAATCGAAAGAAATATCCCTGTCTGCTAAAACTTCGCTGAAATAGCACGATTTTCCTTTACATCGAGTGAATTGGCCGCGCGCGAACGCGCACGTAATTTCTCGGGATTTTGCAGAAATTCGCAGAAATCGCGAGAGAGAAATCGTAACCACTTCTCGATAGAGTAATCACGAACCGATTTTAATAATAACCGTTCGTTAACGCGCGACGCGTCGATTGGCAGGCTCAATTAAAATCCGGTGGGTCTTTCGAATCGACACGCCGGTCGTTCGCTGATATACCGTAAAACGTAATCACTCCATGGCGCCAGATGAGCCAGAATAACGCGCGTCGGTTCGACGATAATTTATGTTATCGCGGGGCACCCGAATCCTGATCCTGGCGCAAGAGTTATAGACTAATTAAATCGGTGACGGAGCGTGTTAGTGCTTTCACCGAATGCACGCGGCTAATTACCAGTTTACGACGAACCAATGGTACGGTACAGGCGATTTGTCGCGAGTTCCCTTCTAATTGCACGCATCAACGTTCGTTGTCAGCTTGTAATCCCGCAGGCGTAACTGCGATTGATTATGAGCGCTAACAGTTCGAAGCAACTTCTTGCTCCGACGGTGTGAATGTTTTGCATCTCTCGCGATTGAATCGCGCGAAAATTACCCGTGGCTTAAAAATATTCTCTCTACATATATGCGCGCAATATATATTTATCCAATTTAAAATATTTACAGCCGAGAATAAGATTTTTTTTTTTCATTGAAAACAATCTTCGCGCACCTCATTTCTTTCTCCCTTTATCCTCCAGATCGGCCCTTGCGTCGTCGTTGATCCGCCGCGTTGACAAACTTACGAAGACGCGATGGAAATAAAGTGTCGATTTTTCCAAAGGACAGAATTAGGAGGCACTTGGCTGGCGATGGGCCAGGCAACCAAGTTTCCGATATGCAATTCCGCTTTATTTCCGGATCGTTTGGCGCGCCCGCGCACTCGTGCGAGGGCTAATGTAATGGAAATGCTGTAAGCCCTCTATGTTCTATGCATATTATTGTGCCACTTCCACGCCGCGTCGCAACGCTAATAATTGTTATGGCCCGATAGAGTCCAATTCTAACGGCGCGTTGGGTGGGGAAGAGGATAGGGGGAGGAGGGACGGCGTGGATGGGATCGGATCGGACCCGGCCTCGCCGCGATTCTGACATTGAATAAATTGCAACTGTTTTTCCGCGTCCGTGACTCTTTTCAACCGACCGATCGGCAATACTCGACGGGATCTGGCCGCGCAATATCGATTCGGATTCGTTCGATGGGACCGGCGGCTAAACTGATTCGACTTTGAAGCCCACGTTTACGCATCGATTCGCGCTCGGTTGCCATACTCTGCGATAGCTCTAGATATCGCCGAAAGAGACCGATTACAATTGATTTTTTTTTTTTAGCTTATCTCTAACCGGAAGCGCTTTGATTTGCTGCCGTCGAATTGATTTATATATAATATATACATATCAAAAAATATTCATATTTTTTTCTATTTTATGATCAAATTTGAAAGGTTGGTCTATAATGTACCGTGTACAGTAGCATGCAAATTATTGTCAAATTAACACTATCAAGAATTATTAACAAATAGAAAATTATAAGTATAACAAATATACACATATAAAAATAAATAAGATATTACATTATGCATGCATCGTGAACAGGTTGCCACTTTAATCTTTGCTCGAAGCCTGTTTTTAGAAAAAGAAAAGAAAGAAAGAAACAAAAAAGAAAAACAAGAGATATTTGTCACACATTTAATTACTTTTTCAAATTATATAAATATATAGGTTATATAATAAAATTAATCCCCTTTCTTTAGTACAACTTTTGCATCGCCTTTTACTCACGTAGTCGCATTTTTGATACTCAAACTTAATGTTCAGTTTTTAACATTAATTTTTAAATACTAAGTAAAAACAAATACGTGTCATTTTTTTTGTTTTTATATAAATTAAAGTATTGATTTAATAATAAATTTTTTTTTTGAACATGTTTGTTTACAAATTAATTTTTTATCAAGTAAAATAAATAAAACGGCAATTATAGGGACACTGGCAGTAATTGGAACATCTATCTAATATGAATTTATTACCAGATTTATTTACTGTGTTGAGCAAATCCGAGAAAGGCATATTGTTGCACATTGTTGTGTTCGACTGCAACGTCACCCAAGCCTGGAAATGAAGAAAAACGTGTGTTGGCGACGGTGCATTTCTTAAATTTTATTTCTCGCGCGACAAAAAGCGTATATACATACTTCCCCCAACTTTATCGTACCGCTGTCATCAACATTCATAGATTTGAAAATCTCTCGCAACGTTCTAAAACGTAAACAAAATTTCCTTGCAAATGTTCTCTTATTTTATTTTGTTCCATATGTATAAATAGCTATACATATATACGTAAATGATTTTTCAGAATCGGCAGAAACTTACACTGCATCCGTCCCATTCTGAGTAAGCGAGATTCTTATAGGTCTGATGCCATCTTCAGTATACAAATCCGTACAGTCCTGCACATTGATCTCTTCGCGTAACATCTGTGCATACATATAGTATACATGTATTAATCATTAGTTATGCCATAATTTGCTCGTTAATTAGAAGCCATTACCTTGGATGTGCAGTGAAGAGCAACTGAAACGCTCTCGAATATCGGTATCCTTTGTCTCTCCATTAGATATTGAAGTACCAACAATCCATTCATCAAATCGTAATATTCTCTAAAGAATAAAGAAACACGTAAGATGAGGAAAACATTATGACAGAACAATGTTTTTTATTAATTAATCACTGGTCAACATACTGTGTAGAAACGGTCTCTCCTAGTATAGTTTGCCCCTGGCGATACGGATAAATGACGAGCACCAGGGATTCGCTGCGCGTAGCTGCCAGTTGAGCCGCTTCAATAATACCCGCGCTGTTGCGCGTCTGGTTGTCGATAACGAATAGCAAGACCCGCGCCGTCTGCTTCGCCTCGTACTCCTGGGCTATCAACTCTGGACCCCATTGCGACACTTGCTGTGATACAGAATCCAATTATGATATCTTGTGTGCGAAGGCGAAGAGGACGACGATAGTGAGCAACCTACAGGATTGTAGTAAGTAATTCCGAGGTTCTGAAGGGTCGGGATCGCTATGTCTGACCTCCAGGTAGTTGGATTGCAAGACCCGCCCAAAAATACCTCATATGCCATCCTCTCTAAGTGATTGATCGATAAATAAGTAATAATTGAGGTGGGACCTGTCGAGACAATCGGCTTATTTGTTAACTTACTTGAACCAGTTTTGTGATTGGTGTCCTTTCCATCACCGTGTAATGAGCGAGAGGCATTCATAGGAACAGCTGCCGTTCTAAAGATAAACAAGAATAGACACATGTAGTACAATTCCAGGTTCTGCATACTGATCCAATATTATCACACTCGATACTAGTAGTAGCGACTACTATGTTTGTGGTAGGATTTGATATTTGAGAGTGCAATTGATGTCTGTACGTTCGACGTATATATAGAAGTCGAGTCGAAACTTTATACATGATTAGGAATAAGTTTTTTTCTTTACAATTTTTTGCGACTTTAGCTATATTTAATTATTACTGCTAGGAATAAGTTTTGTAACTTTTATTATGCAACTGTTTTTTGGAAAGTGTTAAATAGGGGGTCATTTTAATGCTTTGAAAGACGAGTATGTTAATAATATTGTCGAGATTCATCATTCAAAGTTATTGCAATAAATATCTGATAATTTTCATTCACGATAAAAAAATGGCAGGATCATCTGTGAATCATCCTGTATAGCAGAAGAGAGATGTCATCAATTACATAATCGTCAAACAAAATTTCATCAGAGTGTGGTAATAGGATACACTAGATAGTAGCATCAATTATCGTTTTTTTTTAGCTGAACGTACTTCCACATATCAAATAATTTTGCAACGATCGACCTCGCGTTGCGTTTCATCATTGTTTTACAACATTCCCCCTCTATAATCATAATCAAACGCTCAATATTTTCGCCTGAAACATACAGATTTCCGTTCACCCGATAATGTGCACAGTGTACACAGAAAAAAAATTATATACAGGGTATCTACTCAAATCCTGTAAAAAATTCTCCTAAAAATTCTCTGATCTTTCATATATTTTTGTTCAAAATTCCAGATAAAGAGAATATTTTAAACATTCTTTGATGCAATTTCCTAAAATAAGTTTTTTTATTGTATGCTTTTTCTGATGCTTTTCATTCATACGAAAGAAAAACACAAAGTCATTTAAGTTTTAAGTGCTAGATTTACAAATGTATTGAAAATAAAACTGAACAGCTTTTGTTAAAATAAAATTTTTTAATTTGCAATATTTTTATTTTTTATCACTGAAAATTAAAATAAAAAATATATATTGCATATTTAATATTTTGTTAAGACATTGAATATACAGGGTGTCCGGTAAAGATTGTGCCAACGCTCGTGAGCGGCTAGAGCATAGTAAACTGAACAGAAAAGTCCTGTAACATTTTTTTATATAACGCTTAATAAAGGAGTTATTATTGAGTAAAATCTGATCAATTAGCGCCGATTTTTAGCCGGATGCACGTCGGTGAACCGCCCGCCTGATAGTATGCGGCGGCGCACACTTCACAGCGCGGGGCTCACTGACGTGCGCCCGGCTAAAGGTTGGCGCTGATTGGCCAGATTTTACTCAATAATAATTCCTTTATTACGCGTTATATAAAAAAATGTTACAGGACTTTTCTGTTCAGTTTACTATGCTCTAGCCGCTCACGAGCGTTGGCACAATCTTTACCGGACACCCTGTATATTCAATGTCTTAACAAAATATTAAATATGCAATATATATTTTTTATTTTAATTTTCAGTGATAAAAAATAAAAATATTGCAAATTAAAAAATTTTATTTTAACAAAAGCTGTTCAGTTTTATTTTCAATACATTTGTAAATCTAGCACTTAAAACTTAAATGACTTTGTGTTTTTCTTTCGTATGAATGAAAAGCATCAGAAAAAGCATACAATAAAAAAACTTATTTTAGGAAATTGCATCAAAGAATGTTTAAAATATTCTCTTTATCTGGAATTTTGAACAAAAATATATGAAAGATCAGAGAATTTTTAGGAGAATTTTTTACAGGATTTGAGTAGATACCCTGTATATAATTTTTTTTCTGTGTACACTGTGCACATTATCGGGTGAACGGAAATCTGTATGTTTCAGGCGAAAATATTGAGCGTTTGATTATGATTATAGAGGGGGAATGTTGTAAAACAATGATGAAACGCAACGCGAGGTCGATCGTTGCAAAATTATTTGATATGTGGAAGTACGTTCAGCTAAAAAAAAACGATAATTGATGCTACTATCTAGTGTATCCTATTACCACACTCTGATGAAATTTTGTTTGACGATTATGTAATTGATGACATCTCTCTTCTGCTATACAGGATGATTCACAGATGATCCTGCCATTTTTTTATCGTGAATGAAAATTATCAGATATTTATTGCAATAACTTTGAATGATGAATCTCGACAATATTATTAACATACTCGTCTTTCAAAGCATTAAAATGACCCCCTATTTAACACTTTCCAAAAAACAGTTGCATAATAAAAGTTACAAAACTTATTCCTAGCAGTAATAATTAAATATAGCTAAAGTCGCAAAAAATTGTAAAGAAAAAAACTTATTCCTAATCATGTATAAAGTTTCGACTCGACTTCTATATATACGTCGAACGTACAGACATCAATTGCACTCTCAAATATCAAATCCTACCACAAACATAGTAGTCGCTACTACTAGTATCGAGTGTGATAATATTGGATCAGTATGCAGAACCTGGAATTGTACTACATGTGTCTATTCTTGTTTATCTTTAGAACGGCAGCTGTTCCTATGAATGCCTCTCGCTCATTACACGGTGATGGAAAGGACACCAATCACAAAACAGAAAAGTCCTGTAACATTTTTTTATATAGCGCTTAATAAAGGAGTTATTATTGAGTAAAATCTGGTCAATTAGCGCCGATTTTTAGCCGGACGCACGTCGGTGAGCCGCCCGCCTGATAGTATGCGGCGGCGCACACTTCACAGCGCGGGGCTCACTGACGTGCGCCCGGCTAAAGGTTGGCGCTGATTGGCCAGATTTTACTCAATAATAATTCCTTTATTACGCGTTATATAAAAAAATGTTACAGGACTTTTCTGTTCAGATTACTGTACTCTACCCGCTCACGAGCGTTGGCACAATCTTTACCGGACACCCTGTATAAACAGATATAGATATATATTTATAACTTATTTTTATTTGAGCCCTTTGTCTGCACACGGGGTATATTCTACCTCAGACTTTTTCTAACGAAAATTTTTGAATAAATATAAATAAATATCCTAAATATTTAAAATTGCAAATTTAAAGGAATTTTTTATAAAAGTGTGCATTTTGAAATACATCGTTCCCTTCAGACCCCTAAACTTTCCTAGTTTAAAATATTATTTTTTTGCAAATTTGATTATTGGACCTTAAAGTTCGATAGTTGCACTAAAAAAATATGTCTCTAATCTTTTTTTGAAATAACTGATAATTTAAAAACTATAACGAGTCAAAGATAGCTGGGGTAGATTCTACCTCATATGCAGTTATTGATTTGCTACGAAGATGTGCAGACGAAGGGTTAAACACATAATTCACAACATGGCTTATTGACGAATTGTCTACTGCTTACAGTAGAGCAAAATTATCAAAGAGATAATTTTTTTTAAATTCCTTGAGCCCCAAATTCCATGAAAATAATCTGATTTTACCAGGTATAAAAAAATTTCCTAAGAATACCATGTTTTTCCAGGAAGTAAACGCCCTGATATTATATATTCTAGTGCGAATAATTTAACTTGCAAGGGAAAAACGAAAATCCATTATACTACATAGGGCAATACCTGGGTGGTGTCTTTAAAAAATACCTAGCAAAATCAAAACTGTACGATAAATCATAAAGCTTTTGTTACCCTCGCTCGCACAGACGTGCCAGTTCTGTGGCAAATATGCAGAATTCTTCTAACATTATACAGGCATCGGTACATTCAGGACAATCCTTATCGTCGTACTGCAGCTTGTTGCGCAGCTGCAAACAGTTTGGGAACAACAGCATCACGTATATTTCTTGTGTCTGAAATTAGCAAATTCCCTTTACTCTGTTTCAACACTGTTGATTAAATGGAAACTATATAAATGTAGATATAAAGTTTGCGCACTCACACAGGATACACAGGTGACTGTTGAGTTTACGCTTAGTCGAGATCTGGTGATAAATATTCCTCATCATTTAAAACTATACAACTGATTTAAATTTTTGCTTGCAGAAGTATGAATGTATCTACAAATTTCTCGATTTGGACTTTCATATTTTCCTATGGGAAAAGATACATGAGATATTAATTTTTATTTTAACTAAAAAATATCTCATATCGAACATATGATTTAAATATAGATACATACATTCATCTCTGATATAATGCAACAAATAATTAAGAGATATTCTTTTTTCTCTATTTTAAATATAACGATTATACCAACCTTGATGACATTCTTGTCAGACATGCTAGTGTGTTAACGATTCACCCTCGTGTGCTCATATCAAGAGTTTCACCTATAGAATAAAACACAAAGGAAAGCTTAACTCTCTGTTTGAATTGAAGTTTATTGATTAGCTCACTCCAATCATATGGTAATATGTGACGATTACTCACTAACATTCCCAAGAAATGCATACTCACGCAATCATAATTTCCCGTAATTTCCAATTAACGAATCGTTAAAATCACATGATTAACTTGCGAGGTATTTCAAAAAAGGTATCTATGCGCAAAACGTGTCAGAAAAAGAAAGACGAACTTAAGGAAAGACAAATGCGAAGCATTCTATCTACAAATCGCAGGCACAACAAATCGCGTTTCGAAGTCACACACATAGATACGCGTGCGCACATACGCACGCACGCACACACACTGCATGTCATACATACTACACAACCACCTTGTATCGCGTCGTTTCTTCTCTTAAGAAAACGCGGAATCGATGAGATTCGTATGCCAATTTAAAAATTTGTAAGATTAAATTTCCATTCTCTGTCACAATATTACGCTCGGAATTGATAAGACATCGCAGAAGTTTTATCGCTAGGCGTTTTGTATATTCTTATCGCTCGAGAGATGATTTGTCTTGAGAGTTAATTATCGTTATTTTAATTAACCGCCGATTAAGCGAGTTCTGTCCGTCCGTCCGTCTATAATGTCTGGAACTAATGATCTAGCGACTTTCGCGCTTTATTCTCTCTCCCTTCCGTCTCTTCCGTTCTTATCGTCCTCATATCTACCATCCTTGTCGGAGAGAAGCGCGCAAAATACCAAGCGAGAAGCAAACATACTAACCTTGATGGGGTTTCGGCGGCGTTTACGTGCACAAAGGGCACACAGGAAAAAAGTTACGGTTGTTGAATGCATCCGACGCTCACTTCGTCTCTCTTTCTCTCTCACTACGTAGATCTATCTCTCTTGCGCGCGGAGAGCGCGTGGATAAACACGCGCGAATGGAAAGAAAAATCAGCCCCACCGCGCACTCCCGCTATTGCTCATACTTATTTATAAACCGTTATATTTAAAATGAAAGAGGCGCGTCGCGTGTCGTCGTACGCGCACCGACCTGATGGAGAGGTGATGGTGGTATAAGAAAAAGGCGATCTATTAATCACATATCTTTGCCAGTCTAGTGATTTGTGGCGAACGATGACGGAGTCGTCGAATTGCGCAAAGTCGTCGCCCCGAAGGATGCGCACCCGAATCTCACTCACAGTAAAATGTGTCAGCGAGAAATCTTCGCGTCTTCTCATATAACGATACACGCCTCCTCCAAATTTTGACAGTAGAAACACTAGAAACTCCGTTTCTCCCTGTGAGAACGTCGTCGTCGACGTTTCCGATACAATGTCCGGACACTGGAGAGAGTGCGATTCAAACTCGTTCAGGTCAGCGACGACGGTGTGGGCGACTTTTTATCGCTTGTTGTCTTTTCCGTGACGAAAAGGAGGTTGTGCATGCGTGCGTGCGTGCGCGCGCACGCCCGTCTGTCATCTCCGCGCACGCTCTCTCCGAACAGTCCGAACGGATTCAGGAGAATGACGTAAACCTCCAACAATGAAGCGTGATGTCACACACGGTGAAGTTCGCACGGGCCGCCGTGTCGCCGTCGTCGCTTCATGCGCATGCGCGAAAGTCCGAGGACCTTGAATTTCGTGGCTGTCTAGGCCCTTGCACAATGCTAAGTAATAGCGATAGCGATGAGCGATAGCGATAGCGATAGAAATAGAAACAGAAAATTCCAACACTACGGAATGCATATGCAGAATGTTATTCTCTATAAAGAATGATTTGCAGAGAATAACATCATTCTGCATTGGCATATGCATTCCCAATGTTGGAATTTTCTGTTTTTATTTCTATCGCTATCGCTATCGCCTAGCATTGTGCAAGGGCCTTCTCCACTGTCAATATAGCATACGCATACGCGTATGCTATATTTATATAAACTTATTGTTAATGAGCGCGCGCAGCGATGATGTCATTGTCCGTCTCCGCGAGATAAGGCGCGCCCGCGCGCCACGGTTCAAAAAATACTCCCGCCTGGATAAAAATCATGGCCGATGCGATTACAAGAAATTTTCAATCAATATTATCATTCGCGAGGGACAACAATCTGCCAAATTTTTTGTTGTCTCACGCGCGCACAGATCAGTTGGGATGTTGTCGCTCGTTTCTTCATTCCAACTGACGTAAGCAAATAATACACGGGAGACTTTTACAAAAGCGTTGTCGCGAGGATTGTCGTTTTCATTATTGCCGCGGCATTATTTTAAGAAAAGTTTAGAAAGAGCAAGAAATTATAAATTTTTAAGATAGTTAAATATGTTGAATGCATTAGAGTTTTTTAAATATATTTTATGCTTAATTGTTATACAGGATACGTCAATCGCGAGATAATCGCGTCTTACGTATATAATCGATACCAAAAATGAGAAAACGGTCAATAAAAAATCAGAGATGTGCAAAATGCTACGAACCTATCTGAAATAGAAAATGCAGAATAGTTGGAACCTTCTATTTAAAAATGCAAAATGCAATATATTTTTTAGACATCCATTAAAATAGGAAATGGAAAACAGGTATTTTTAAAATGGTGTTTTTTTAAAATAAAAATGGTTTTTTAAATATTTATATTTTTATATTTATTTATATTTAAATTCTTATATTTTTTACTATCTAATCTATTAAATAGATTCTATCTATTAAATTATATTTTACTATCTATTCTTATTTCTTAAAGTCGCATCTATATTCTGATATCACTGCGTAGTATAGTATATGTACATATATCGCCAACATGAATAGTGGCAATGGGTTAGCTACGCACACTGAAGTATTAGTCAGTGTCCATGTCGCCTTGGTATGCGTTAAGCCTACTATTTTCCACAATAACTAAATTGATAAACATTTAATCTAACATTTATCTTACAATGAACAAGTGCAATGCAGTATTGCACACATATCGTGATTTATCGTTATTTAGAGCTATTATTGATATTTCGATTAATTTTTTAGTTTGCAAGAAAAATGCATTTGAAATAGAAAATGAATGATAAAAACCATTTAAATGAAACTGTAAAATAACTTTTGAGAAAATGTATTTTAAATGCAAAATACAAAATAGGCATTTTACATTTTATATTTCCATTTTAAATGCATCTATTTCAAATAATGCACATCTCAATAATATATAAATATTGCTCTACAAATTTGATTAATATTTAACAATAATAATATATTTGTACCAAATAATCATTAAACAATTTTTTACAAAGTAATCGCTCCTATCGGCCATTTAATCGATATTGCGTTTTGAGTATACCTAAGGTCACTCAAGGCGTGCCTTATCTGCGCCTCGAGCTTTAAATTTAAGCAATTGTCGCAAGTCACGGTGAAATTTTGTCGTCTTAAGAACAGTCGCGATGACATCAATCCGGTTCGTCGTCAGGTTCCGCGCGTAGTTGTCCTTAAGGCTCCTCTCCTCGCGTCTAAAAAGGCCTTCCCGCGCGCACTTGACAAGCTTTTTAGAATGTATCAAACGCGCGAGCGAAGTAAAAGGGAGTCAGTTGGTCGCCGTGCGCGATGTTTTTGATCAAATATGGTATGAGAGTTATAGCAGCGCGACACGCTCGAGAATCCAAAAGTTTTATGCGCGAACATGGGCGTTTATTTTTTCCGATCGCTCGCCAAACTCTGATTTTGATCAAAAATGAATTTTCAAAAAAGACGATGTGTCAATAACATTATTAAACTGGATCAAAAAGTAAGGTTTCCTGTTTTATTACGACTTTTATTTAGAACTTTTTTATGTAGAAGTTGGACTTATTATAGTAAAATAGAAGTTAAATGACTATTTCTCAATGTAGTCTTTGAGAAGATTGATGCATTTGTCTCACATTGGCACAAGTTTTTCTCTTGGTAAAAATCCGGCTTTTTGTGTTTAAATCATTTTTGAATAGCATTCTGTACTGCTGCATTATTAAGGAAGCAATTGGAAGAAAGAGACCTGGGTTTTTCTCTAGAGTCTAGAGAGAAGCCCAGCAGGTCTCTTTCTTGTAAATTTTCATCCTCATAATGTCAGAGACCTCATTCTGCACATCGAATTCAGGAACTTTTGTAATCATATTTGATTGAAACATCCTTCCCATCACAGAGTATCCTTCCTACAGCCCGGATCTGACTCCTGAATTTCATTTGTTTGGGGCGCTGGAGAAACATCTTGGAACAAAACGATTTCCAGATAATGCAGCGGAATAGAATGTTATTCAAGAATGGTTTAAACTTTCAAACTTTTAAACATCAAGAGCCGGATTTTTATCGAGAAGAAATCTTCAAATTTGCGCCAAGATGGGACAAGTGCATCAATATTCTCGAAGAGATTACATTGAAAAGTAGCCATTAGCATATACATTAACACAATAAGTCCAATTTGTGCATAAATTATAAATAAAAGTTGTAATAAAACAGGAAACCCAGACAACACAAGGATGTCCTTAGGACGTCCAAAGAGCATCCAAGACATACATGTAGGATATTCTGAGGATATCCCATTTTAATCCTCGGATCTCCTCTGGATGTCCTGAGGAAGGGTAAATGATAGCCGAATACTAGCCTCTGAAGAATCCAGGAAGATCCTGTGGAACATTCTAAGGATTTCTATGGGATATGTTAGGGATATTTTTGGTACGTTTCAGGAAGCAAATTCTGAAAATTGCGTCCTGTTATTTATTGCCAGTACTGAAAATGTAATACTGAAAATAGTTCATGTTTTTTGATATTTGAGACTTTCGTAGTCTACATGAATATATTAGGTTTGGCTTTCGGGTTTGAGCCGTGTAATATTTTCTAAAGAATCCAATATCTGAATCCCCTATGTTGAGATTGCATCAGAAATTGAACTGATAGAAAATAATTACATCTTTAATTTCCTGCCAGTTGCTCTTTACAAGCTTTATATAATTCTCATGACCAAATCTCAAATATGAGATCGCGCGTCGCATAGCGGTAAACAAACGAACTAGCGGCTGAATATTATTTTTTGTAACGTTTTTGAAATGTTGCGTACAGTAATATTTCTCATGAAATATTAAATAAATAATAATTTTGGATATATGAAAATGTGCGCATCAAATTCAATTATTAATATTAAACGAAATTAACGTTAACAATTAATTGCACATGTATATGTCCTTTGGAAATCCAAAGGACATCCAATATAATAGACAGGGCAGATATCCTACAGATATCCAGAGGTTATCCGGTGGACATTTATAGGACATTAATACTTATTACAATACTTAAGATTTCTAAATTATATTAAATAGCCTACATAACTGAAAGTAATCATGCGTATGCATATTAAGGGGCCTATTTTGTAAGCCTTAATGATGTTGTTATGGAACGATTGTCATTTAACGAATGACTTTTCTTATTCTGTAAATAATAACTGTTGTTAATTAATGGCGGTAGATTTGTCATAAATTTAACAACAGCCAGAGAGGTGTTGTTAAATGAGAAGAAGTCATTATAAGATACATTTAACCTATAATATTGAAACTATCCTGTCAGGAGTCCGTTCGTGATCGTTGTGGTGAACACATGCGTTTCTAACCTAGTTTAGTTTCTCTAAAGTGGAAGGATAGTACTTATTAGGGTTAAAGTATAAGGGGTTTGATTAGGTTTAGGGGATTAATAGTTATTTATTAGGATAGTAGTTTTAGAAAAAGGAAATAAGTCCCCTGTCGGAAGGGGGGATAGTATAATATTGCAAAAATAGTCAAGCTACGAAAGGAAGATGAAATTAGTTTAACGGTTCAGGGAGAGAAAAAGTTCTATATTAAAATGTCTAAAGTCAAGAAGATGAAGGAGAATAATAAAGAGAACGAGGTTCTAAACATGAAGAGCAGTAGTAGTTCTACGGGTAGACATGGTCTTACGGAAAAAGACTTTGATGCGTTGGCGAACGAAATGCAAGAAAAAGATTGGTCTATCAAGAAAACAAAGAAAATGCGAACAAAAAAATTAGGAAGCGGTGTTTCTTTATATTTATAATAATATCTTAAAACATCCTACAAATGTCCTGAACCATCCTGGACATATTCAGGATGTTTTGTGCTGTTTGGGAACCTTACTTTTTTATCCACACCATGAGATTTATTAGTTTGTAATATTATAACAACAAATGTAGTCTGTGTCGGCACATGTTTTTTGACGTGGTCGTGATTTAGTTATTTCATTTCGAGATGTTGGATATTTATCAAACATAATTATTCTTAAGTTTTTTAAGGAAGAGATCGAAGTCTGCGAATTGTGAATTCGTATGCGCAGATCCGAGTCGGTAGCAAAGATTTCGAATCGGCAACATTGGTAGTTCGAGATTAATCGGTCAAATCGAACAAACATAAATATTTATTTTGTCGTTATGCTTGTTTCCTTCGCTTTTCTTTCTTTTCTTAACACATGTTGCTTTATCTCTAAAGTCATCATATTATCATAAAGTCAAATCATAGATATATTACATATAAATAGAGCTTTTGTGTCATCGCTGCCTTAGAGCCGCGTGTGCCAAGATAAATAGCAGATTTTCCTCCCTTGCGCATGCGCATTCGTACGTTTCTCTCAGCGGACGCATATTGTTTGTAAGGATTTGGAATTTGCATGAAAATTTTAGGAAATTTAAGAATTAACAAGTGCGAGGAATTAACTGTATTGTATTTTTATTAAACATGGTATCTTCTACATAAAATAAAAGAGATTATTTTCCCGGCCGTCGGGAGGAATGCGCGATTGCACATGCGCGAAGGAGAAAAATATGAAATTTGTGCAAATTAAAAACTTGCACATTGCTTTTTCATCACTTTATTTCGCCCACAAAGCTTAAGCTCCTTAAAGCAAGCAGATTTTTCAATTTTGGCTTCCTTATAAAGAAAGATATCTCAAAATTTGCGAAAGTTACAGCGTGTACAGACATTTCTCAAAAAATTCGAAATTTTATAAAAAATGAACCCTTTCACCGACCTTCACCAAATTCAATATCAACCATCCTTTAAATGATACTTTATTTATGTAAAAAAATTTAATTCCATATCTCAAAATTTGCGAAAGTTACAACGTGTACAGACATTTTTCAAAAACTTCAAAATTTTATAAAAAATGAACCCTTCCACCAATTCTCACCAAATTCAATAACAATCATTCTTTAATAATAATCTATCCATGTAAAAAAATTTAACCCGATATCTCAAAATTTGCCGAAGTTACAACGTGTACAGACATTTCTCAAAAAATTCAAAATTTTATAAAAAATGGAACTTTTCATCTCATCAAATTCAATACCAACCATCCTAATAATAATACACTTTCATTTGTATACAAACAAAAATTTATAATTTATTCAAACTCACATATTATATATATATATACTCTATCCAAAAAGAGAATGATCTCGGTTCGCGCATAAGCGGGCAAAGTGGGGAGAACATGGCGAGATACTCAATACCGTATACGTAGATACAGCTCCCTCGGGCTCGGGACTATTATCTCATGTCAGTTTAAAAAATTAAACGGATGAAATATTCTCGATTAATTTCAATATGATATAAAATAGAAATCTGATTCTTACACGCGATACGAAACTAAAATAAAAAATAATATGACAGGCAATTATAAGAGCAAGAGTTGTAATATATTTGAATTACACAATTGAATATTTATAATTTACGAAATAATTAAATCCTTAATATTTTTATCAGAGATCGTTTATATTACGGAAAATTTTAGATTTTGAGCATGCGTATAAAAAAAAACTGAGTACGTAATGAGTGGGGTTAATATTAAATATATATTTATTTTGATGATTTTGTACAAGAGGAATAAGGTCTATCCTTTCGGAAGTAAGTCAGCAGAATATTATAAAATACGTATATATACAGAATATGAATACGAAATAAGTAATAATAATACGTGAAAGAAATAATAATAATATGTGTGAACAAAACAAATAATAATTTTTTGAACAAATAATAAAATAATAATAACAAATAACAAATAATAATATACGAAATAAATAATAATATAAATATGAAATAAATAATAATAATATACAAAGATGATATAAAATTATAATGACATACAGACTGACATACAGAATTAATAATCGCTATCAGAGGTTTCTGAATCTGTTTTGCCTGTGACATTAATTATTAATGGAGATATCCCGTCAATCATTTTATCGGTTATATGGTCGATCTCCCACATCTTTTTCTCTTCATTTGTAACGTGTTTAATAAAATTAGTCCAATGTTCAGCTGTTACCCGATCAACACCTTGTTCAAGTAATAATTTGACGTCCTGAATTTTAAAAGTATTATTATTACTCTTAACATATCCCTTAACCATTGACCATACCATTTCAATCGGATTAAGTTCGCAATGATACGGAGGTAATCTGAGAATCGTTTTGTTGTCTTCTTTTGCCATTTCGTCTACAACATATTTATCGAATTTATTTTTTTGTTGTGCAACAATTTGCAGGAGTTCGACCTTTACCATAGATTCTGATATTTCATTTCCTTTATTTTCTAACCATTGTATTATTTCGGCTTTATTCCAAGAAGTATTCGGCAGTTTTTCCAATTTCACAGAATGATATGGAGCATTGTCCATGACAGCATTATCATCTAATGATGGTAAAATATTTTTAAACCATTCGTGAAATGTGTCACCGTTCATTTCGTCGTGATAATCCCCCGTATGTTTCTTCGATTCAAAACATAGAAGTCCGCCAGGAACGAAACCAGCAACACTGCCAATATGCAAAACAATTAATCGTTTGCCTTTTCCGCTTGGATTAGCTGGTCCCGTTGTCAATCCTCGGAGAAATGCATCCTTCTTGGATTTAATTGTTTTATCTATCCAAACTTTATTTGTGACATCACCGGCGTTAACCCAAGTTTCGTCCAGATAATAAATTTGCCGGCCCTCTTCTCTGTATTTTTTTATAGCCCTCAGGTAATTTCTCCTCCAAATTATTAGATCTTCTCTCTTTGTTAGTATGCTGTTTCGGTGTCGGGTGGTATATGCAAAATTTAAGTCTTTTAATAATAAATGAAAGATCGATCGTTTAAAATTTGGAAGATCTTCGTCAGCGTTTACGGCTTTTTTTATGCGAATTAATAATAATAATCTTCTGATTGCTGTGGATCAACTGAAAATATAATTGAAAAATTAACCTTATAAACCTTATAAGCAATATAGCCTTATTCAAACAATTTATTAAATTTCAACATATTTTTCTCGTAGTGAACTCATAAAAGGACACTTTAAACTTTAAAACTACAATCTCCGATATACTATATATAATAGATTAATAATAATAATAATAATAATTATCACTTGCACGAAACGGACGAATTTTCGTCCGGACCGAAGTCATTCTCTTTTTGGATAGAGTTATATGTATATGTGAGTTTGAATAAATTATAAATTTTTGTTTGTATACAAAAGAAAGTGTATCATCTTAAATATATATTTAAAAATCAGAATATTAAACATTATATTATGATAAATATTAAGATGTTTCAAACTTATTGAATGCTTACAGCACTTCTATAGTGTTCCACCAAAAGTGGCCACCCTCCTTTATTTTTTAAACTAAAAGAGATAGATCATAATAAATATATATCAAATTAAATGGTTCAAACTGAACTCTATTGTGAGCATGGTTACTTTGTTTACAGTGGTTATTTTCAAAAGCTATCTGTGTTAACGAACGGAAAGGTATGCATAATTTTTTTATAATAATGAAAATATTTCGACAAGAAAAAAGTTGTAGCGCTGTTTGAAACGAATACAACGTATGTATGATATAATGTAAACATTTTACATATTATACGAATGTTATTGAAATATCGTAGGCGACGACTATCTTTTCACTTCCTGTCCTGCGGTTACGGCCTATACTTTTGACTCGTGCATTAGAGATTGACGTATGTCATGTTGTCATTTATAGCGTTTTCGAATGTAGCAGGTTTAATCGCTCTCAGAGCGATTAATGACGTCATTGCATTGTCTCTGCCAATAAAAGGCTTGAATTCATAGTAAAATATAGTGATTAATTGAACCGGGTTGGGTTAACCCGTTCATTCGAAAACGCTATTAATGATAATAGTCAATCCGAAGTTGGCCATAGCGCAGGGTCGAAATGAAAAAGTAGACGTCGCCCGCGATATTTCAAGTTGATGAAACTCGTATATGTAAAATATTTACATTATATCATACATCGTTGTATTGTTTCAAACAGCGCTACAACTTTATTTATGTCAAAATATTTTACAGGGTAAGTCATTTTAATCAAAACACGGAAATATCTCGTAAAGTAAGCAAGATGGAAAAAAATGTTTTATACAAAAGTTATAGGGTTCAGAGGGGGGCACATGATGAAAATATGGACTTGACCTTGAGTGACCTTTTCAAAGCCAAGTCGATGTGATATTTTCTTAAATGGAACCTCTCATTTTTATTGCATATTCTTATAGCTTATGCTTCGCGTTGTAAAGTATATGCGTGGACACAGTGAGTTCCGCCCCCCCCCTACGGGGGGCTCCACTTCCGGAAAATATAACCTAACCCAAACCCATTTCTGATTTAGAACTAAAATTTGGTATGGATTACGTTATATAACTCAAACCAAATTTTCAGAAATAGGTTTGAGTTAGGTTATATCTTCCGAAAGTGGAGCCCCCCCGTAGGGGGAGCGGAACTCACTGCGTTCACGTATACACTTTCCCATCCACACAACAATTCTGGCTGAACGTCGCTTCGCATTGTAAAGTATATGCATGGACACAGTGGGTTCCGCCCCTCCCTACGAGGGGGGAGCTCCACTTCCGAAAAATATAACCTAACCCAAATCTATTTCTGATTTAAAACTAAAATTTGATTCAAGTTACGTTATATAACTCAAACCAAATTTTCGTTTCGAATCTAACTTTAACTTTAAATATCTTAAAAATTATAAGAGACCGCCGATTAAGTTATAAGGAAAAGTTACTCAGGATTATGTCTTTGACAGCTGGGCCCAATATAGTATATAAGTAAATTATAGTAAATAATTACCCTAATATAGTAAATAATATTATAGTAAATAATATTATAGTAAATAATTACCCTAAATATTTTACGAAATATTTTATTTTTTATATCAAAATGTCAGATTAAAATATAAAATAACTCAAAAAGTTCTTAATGAAAAAATACTTTATTATAGTGTTTTGAAAGGCTCTTGAGATAAGCTTCAAGAATATGCAATAAAAAATGGGGGGTTCTATTTAAGAAAACATCGATCACATTGACTTGGCCTTGAAAAGGTCATTCAAGGTCAAGTCCATATTTTCATCATGTGTCCCCCTCTAAATCATACAACTTTTGTATAAAACATTTTTTTCATCTTGCTTACTTTACGAGATATTTGCGTGTATTGATTAAAATGACTCACCCTCCCATACAGCACCAAAAGATTGCAAAAACGTTGTATAGATCTTACATTGAAACATTGTAATATTGTATGGAAGTTGCGAAATGTTTCTGCAATGTTACTGCAAGCCTGCGGCAACGTTGAATTGTCCGCATTTAGAAATATTATAATGTAAGACTACAGTGATATTACGGTGTAATGTATTTGTAATATTGAAATACGTTGGTACAAATATGCAAAACACTTAATTTAATAGATGAACTTTGGGAATATATAAAGACATCCAAGAGAGATAAGAAAAAAAGATTGTGAATTTACGCAATTACGAGTTTCTTCGTCTCTCTTGGATGTCTTTATATATTCTCAAAGTATATCTATTAAAATCTGAAGTATCCTGTATATTAAAAAATTATTATCAAATTTTTGGTTTTATATAAGAATGGAAACTATTAAACAATTTTCTGTTATCTAATTAACATCGCTATTTTATAAATAATTTACAAGTTTAAGAAATAGAAAATGATTAAATAATTTTACTCAAAAGTTAAAATTTTATTTATATAAATATTAGACTCTATTTTACATCTTAAATAGACAATAAACGGATAATTTTAACTTTTTCGGACATTTATTTGTCCGATTTCTGAACAATCAGTTCAATATCTGAATTCCCTGTGTTGGGATCGTATCAAACAAATTAAACTGATAAAAATAGTTGTTATATCTTTAATCTTACTAGCCACTTTTTGCAAGCTTTATATAACCATTCTGATTAAAACATAGGCCGGTATTCACAGTCCGTTCTCATATTCAAGATCGTCTTAAGTACTGTCTTAAGATTCTAAGCAGCCATTTCATTGGTTGAATGAGATCTTAAGACGACCCAAGACCACACTTAAGACGATCTTGAATATAAGAACGGACTATGAATACCGGCCTTAAATGCGGAATTGATAACGCAACGCGCGCGCAAAGCGGTAAACGAACGAGCTATCGATGATTATCGAAAACTGTTTTTTGTAATGTTTTTGGAATGTTGCTGTAACATTCTCATGAAACATTACAATTAGATGTTCCAATAATGTCTCAACAATATTACATTGCAGCTTGCAAGATTGTAACATTGCTGCAATGTAATTGCAATGTTTTGTGCTGTATGGGCTGTATATATACAGGGTGTCCGGTAAAGATTGTGCCAACGCTCGTGAGCGGGTAGAGCACAGTAAACTGAACAGAAAAGTCCTTTACCATTTTGCGATTTTCGTAATAATTATTGAGAAATTAATTAAAAAAGATCGACCAATTCGCGTGGGTATAAGCGCGCGGCGAGAAGGTACGGCTCAGAGACAACCCAAAAGTTTGTGGTCGCTAGGCGCGCGATGAAGTTTTGGGAGGAGCGCTCTACAAATGACAACGGTTACGTACGAGCAGTACATAATAATGGATTCCCGCGTTCTAGCAACCACACATCAATGGGTTGTCCCCTTTTACTGCACGCTTATACTCACGCGAATTGGTCGATCTTTTTTAATTAATTTCTCAATAATTATTACAAAAATCGCAAAATGGTAAAGGACTTTTCTGTTCAGTTTACTGTATTCTACCCGCTCACGAGCGTTGGCGCAATCTTTACCGGACACCCTGTATATATATCGTATCGTATTATATTTACATTGTGTAAACTATTTGTGTAAACTATTTGTGTAAACTATTTTTTACTTTAATATCAATCTGTCTACCAATGAAATTTGATCTTAAATATCACGCTATAATATTTATTGAAATGTTATCTTCATTTCGATATACAAGTCGTACGTTTCCGCATTTCGCTCATAGTCTGACGTTATTTGAACAATTATTATACGATTCAAGTTAACTGAAATTTATTCTGATTGTGAGTTCCGAATTAAAGTTTTATATATAAAATAAATCCAAGAGGTGATTTCTTAAATTAACCCCTCACGGAAGACGAACTCCTTGTGCTGGTGACAACACAACAATTCGTGTTAAAATACCAAGAATAAATATAGCAAATGTTATAAATTTATTAATCACAACGTTTAACATTGCAAATTTTGCTGTCTCACCTGTTAATCACCATGAAGTTGAACTTCATGATGCCATTTCCGATCTAATAAAAAATGCTGTAAATGATGATGTTGAGATTGAATACAAATGGGAACTTGATTTAGACGATCTGTCAGAACCGCACGATGTACAATTTGTGGACGTGTATGATATTGATGCTGAAGAAGATAATTATGAAGACAAAGTTTGTATTGTGGATAACGAAGGTGGAAATGTAAACTTAAATTACAAAAAAAAGCAGTTGTATTTTGGTACAGTGGAAAAAAAGGACATTTAGCTATTACTGCTGTACAGAATCGTTTTAGAAAGGTAAAATTTAATACAAACATAAGAAAAATAATATGAGCTGAATGAGCAGGTAGATGTGCGTTGTGTATAAATAGTAGATAATAAATGATAACGGAAACAGAAAGATATTTCAGACTTATGCACATTACTTACATCGCATATCTGCGTTAGTTCATTAATCTTTTTGAATTAGATTTTCTAAATATCAAATTTCTTTTCTTCTAGATAAAATCTGTTTCGCAATTGCATAGATGGGAAGAAAATATAATGCGCGGAGGGTCAAACAGTGACAAACTTGTATTTATTGCCGAATATATACTATCGCAATTCCAAGAATCTATTGATAGAGGATCTATCATTCACGACATAGATTTGCGAAAATGGGCATTACAAGCAAAGGAGCAAATAGACTTTTCTTCATTTAGAGCAGGAAATTGGTGGATATGGAATTTTAAAAAAGCACATCGCATTGTATCACGTAAAAAAACAAGTTTTAAAACGTGATCTTCTCATGCAGCTGATGTAACAATAGGTCAAAGTGCAGACGAATTTGTGAGACAGGTTAAACTACATATTGATGTTATTGGTGCAAGATCAATTTATAATGCAGATGAAAGCGGCTTTAATTTCGAAATACATTCTGGAAGAACATTAACTAATGTGGGACCAAAACAAGTCGAATCTACTATCCAATCTTTATCTTCTATGACTCATAGCTATACCATTATGCCCATTAAATCTGCAGATGGACATCCTCTTTCACCTCTGTATATAGTACTAAAAAAATCTAGTGGAAAATTTGGACCACGAGTAGAAAAAACTCTTTTTAGACCTATTAATGTTTACATTGCAGCTTCAAAATCCGGAAAACTCACAAGCTAACATTTCAAAAACTAGTTTGAAGAAGTATATTTACGAAATACTGGAGAAAAAAGTCTATTGCTGCTTGATTCATGGACAGGACATTGTGCGGAACAATTAAAAGAAGTTATATCAGCAGACAAACAAGTAAATATTTTAACAATATCAAAAAAAACAACTGCTTTTGTACAACTTTTAGATGTTTTCCGTTTTAGAATTTGGAAAAATTTTGTTCGATGTTTTTCTGATAATATTATTTTAAATAATTATGACATAAATTTACATTCATGTAATAATTTAATAAAACTACAAAGTTTAACACATAATCAACTTTCTTCTCCAAGACTTCAAAATGTATTTAAATATAGTTGATAAAAAAGTGGATATTTATCAACGCGGCCTGAAAAGCTTGATAATCTAATAAATTTTTGTTATTTTAAAGAAGAAGAACATACCAAGATGCAGTATTTGTGGTAAAATGACTTTCATACGTTGTGCATGGTGCAAAGAATATTTTTGTTTTGAACATTAACAATATCATTATTGTATATTATTATGTATAGAAATTTTTTAATATTTTTTTTCCTAGTAATACTTCTATCCAAGTAATATTATTTCTGATTCTGATATAGAACTTACAAAGATGTGCTAATTCGGACGTCATCCCTTAGAAGTAATCCTTGCTTTCCAGATACTGCCAATGGTTGAATGTTATGCTTATGACCCATAAGTTCATTTAACTCTCTGCAAATATAATCAACGACAATATTACCCAGACAGCACTATATTATTATATATATTTAGGATGTACATAGAATATGTAAATACAAAACAAAACATTTTTCAATTATTAATAAAGTTTTATTATAAAAATAACACATATTGTTTTTAATCAAACATAGTTCTTGTTAAACTATATTTTGTTTATAAATAAAATAAAAATTAAAACAATTTTTCTAATAAAAAGTACAAACAAAAAATAAAACAAAAAAATAAAATTTTGTACTGTTGCATGAATTATGCATCTATAACTTCTAACTTACATATTGTAACTTATAATTATAATTTAACGTTTATTTTCAAGAAAAATTTCTTTTAATAACTTGTTCTTTTCTTCTTTCAATTGATTTGCTTTTATTAGTTGTTCCTCTATATTTTTCATAGATTGTTCATATGTGTTTCTCATTGCTTTATATTCCGTTATTAGTTGTCTTTGTATTTCATTTTTTATCTCTTTCTCCTTTTGAGTATCGTTTAAAAGTTTCTCGATTGTTTTGTGCCACATTTCTGAAACTCTGGTCGTCCTACCCGTTTGTTTCCTTTGTGTATTGTGTGACAATGTCTACAATGCGTATATGTTCTAGATTAAATTAATATCAATTATATCGATAGAAAGAATATATAGCATTATACTTACATTGTTAAAACAGTTATTTTCGACATTGCTTACATTAATTTCCGATATAGTAGTGTTTGTTAATAAATTTGGAGTCATTGGTTCTATATTTGCCTCTGTGTCTAAATTGGTTTCACTTTGATTATTTATATCACAGATAGGTCTGTAATATATATACAATAGATAATGTTATGCTATATAAATATTTCATTCGTTATATCATTAAGGTAATAATAGATATTATAATTAATATATATTATGTATAGATATATCTAATATGTATAGAAATTTTTTAATATTTCTTTTCCAAGTAATACTTCTATCCAAGTAATATTATTTCTGATTCTGATATAGAACTTACAAAGATGTGCAATTCGGATGTCATCTCTTAGAAGTAATCCTTGCTTTCCAGATACTGCCAATGGTTGAATGTTATGCTTATGACCCATAAGTTCATTTAACTCTCTGCAAATATAATCAACGACAATATTATACTTTATATGTTATTCCTTTATAAATCTTGAACTAAAAATAATATTTACGTTTCGTATGGACATGATATGCGACCTCTGCCTGTTTTATTATTGTTTGTTATCATATTTTTGTAAGATCTTTCTAAAGATTTATATTTATTTTCTACTTGTAGAAGCGTCACGTTATGTCCATATTTTTGCATACTTTCTCTTATTTTTTGCCATAACACTTTCTTGGTTTTAATTTTTCTATTTATCAAGAGATCCTTTTTTTCCTTGTACAATTGTAAAAACAATTTGGTCTTTGCATCATCCCAAAAAAATATTTCTCTTTTATCTTGGTCTGTTCCATTAGTGTTATTTTCATTATAATTTTCATTATAATTTTCAGTATAATTTTGATTATTAATATTTTCATCATGACCATAATTTTCATTATTATTTTGTTCGTTGTTTGTACTTGTTTGTTCGTTTTGTTTTACATTTTGATGTAGTTTAATAAATACTAATTGATCTTCAACAGTACATTGCACTGTATCACAACTAAAATCTATATCTTTATATTTTAGTTAAAATATTACGCCTTCTGCAAAAATATTATATTATATTTACACACCTTTTTATCTTCATAAATAATAATACCTATACATAAATAATACCTATTGACATTTTCAGATAGATATTTTTAATACCTTTCGATTCACAAGTAATATTTCCATTTATATCAACTAAATTTTCTCCATATTTGTTTGTAAATCTCTTTTTATATTACAAAAGATTCAAATATAGCTAAGAAAAGTTAAAAAAATATATATATCAAACATATATTTTCTTTATATTTTCTCTTTTAAGTTACATGCTACTTACATATATTTTTGATTTTTCGAATTTTGCGGTTTGTACTGTTTTCGTTTACGTACGCAATTGAACTGTACCGCTGCACTAGCTCGAGACCTGGGGCAGGCAGTTCAGTGAACTCTTGTACTAAGTTCTGCTACACTTTTGAAAAGGACAGTCACCTCTGACGTCACTTCTGCTAAAAAGAACGCGTCAGTGTACACTTCTTGAACTAGTACAGAAAGTGCAGCTGAAAAGAACAAACCTATGGATGCATGCAAGCAGTGTATGTATACTACAGACACGAGGCTTGTTGTGTAGTTACGCTCGGGTTTGCTGCAAACTTTGCGCAAAGTTTGCATCATTTTGCTTGCTGGGATGTTGAGTGGATATAAATAAAAAGTAAAAGAGCGGCGCTGAAAACAATGCCGGACGTTATATGTTCGATAATTCTTCGAGAATATCGAAATATGCACTGTCAAGTAATTCGGTGTCGGTATTAGAATTGATTTCGAATTTTTGTTCTTTAATATGGATCATTTCCGAAATAAGTCTTTTATGGAAACTATTTCCACACTAGGTGGGAAAACATTGGGACAGTCGGACGTTATCGTCTCTTTGGATTGTTACGTCCAGACTCGGGGAAGGATGAGTCGACGGAAGGGCGCAACAACTATCTTTAATTTTCCCGAAATTAAACGTCTCGTGGCGTTTGGAATCGGGTCGAACGAACTGACAGGTCCGAAAAGCAGGTAAACGACGGAGACGCTATTACACTGTTTTCGGAAGTTCGCTCGGCGGTCCCTTTTCGGTCAGAGAATTTAATCTCTTTTACGCGGGATGGGACCAAGTGCGATCTTTCGACTAGAGGAATGAGTGAGGGGTTTAATAAAGAGTTATTTTGATTTTTAAATTAACAAAATTTAAATTAATTCATTTTAAAGTAAATGGTGGATATACATGATTATATAAAAAATTAAAATAAAATATTGTTGATTATAATTTCTCGGTGAGTGTACATGTGTA